AAAAATAAAACGCTAAAAAAACTGCAAAACGCAAACGTGAGTAAACGCCGTTAAACGTGGCAAAACGCCAATGCAAAAATGCTAAAAGAAAGCTGAAAAACTCACGTTTACGTGACTTTATACAGCTAACGTTACCAGCGTTATCAAAACGTCCCGTGTGCATGAGGACTTACTGTCGGATCTGAACCCTGCTACCAGGGGCGGACTATTTGGAAACTCAGGCACTGCCCAAGGGCCCGGGGTCAGTAGGGGGCCCCATGAGATGCCCCTGGTACCTTTTTCATAGGCTTTTTTGAGTTTGGGCAAGGACACAGGGGCCCCATGATCCCCTATTGCCCGGGGGCCCCATGAGTTGTCAGTCTGCCCCTGCATTCTGCTTACCTAAAGCAGGGCTAAATGAAGAAAAAAGAAAAAGGAAAAAAAAAAAAGACCTCTTGCCAGGCACCCAAAACTGCATGCCCTGGGCGTCAGGCGAAAGGAATTGCACATCCCTGTAATGGTAGCTGAGCGAAGGAGAAGAGGAACGTTCGAATACTAATCAGTACCAATGTGCAAAATGTGTGCTAGCTTTGTAATAAATCCCCTCCAATGTTCGGGATCCTACATGTGTGGATGTTGCTGCTTTATAGAAAACCATTTGTTTAGCTTTTTACACTTTAGAATGGGGTGCGGAATTTTAAAGGGTGACATGACAATCCTGACGTTTCATCTCTATTTTAGGTGAACAACCAGATGTATAAGTCTCCATGCACACGGGGTCATTTTAATAATGCTGGTAACATTAGCTGTGTAAAGTCACGTTAAAAATGTGAGTTTTTTTCAGCAGTTTTTAGCGTTTTTGCATATTTGTTTTTTTTTTTTACTAAAAAAAAAAAAAAATTTTTTTTTAACCAAAACAAATAATTTTTTTACCAAAATAAAAAAAAATATATTTTTATTTTTACCAAAAAAAAAAAAAAAAAAAAGTCCAAAAACAGTCGGAAAACGCTGTTTTTTTTACTGTTAGAGCATTTTTACAGCGCTGAGCAAACCCTTTGGCGCTATATAAACTCAATGTAATAATAATAATAATTTTTACAGCTAAAAAAACTCCTCTAGAAACCCATTAGTTCTGAGTTTTTTCTCCAGCCGAAAAAAAATATGTGCAGCTGAAAAAAACATCATGAGGATAAAAGGATTTTACACCTCCTAGGCACTTGATACAAAATTTTGGTCCATATTTGTTACATTGTATATATAGATCTTTGTTGAAGATAGTCATGAAGAGCCTGCCTGATCACACTTTGTTTTTTTCATTCATTTTTTTTTGCCCGTGCAGAGGGGTTGTCCTCGCACTTCACAGGTTACCTGCTCATTTTGTTCTGGGGAGAGGATAGCAGAGATATTTTGTAAAACAATGCGCAAACTGTTGGCGATATATAAATCCTGAATAATATTAACCACTTGCCCTCCAGAGGATTTACCCCCCCCCCCCGTTCAAGGCCATTTTTCTTTCGGTGGTATTTGATTACCTGTGCGCTTTTTATTTTTTATAAACAAAAAAAAAGACTAAAAATGTTGAAAAATAAAAACAATATTTTGGACTTATTCCTATAAAAAACATGTCCAGTAAAAAATATTTAAGAAAAGAAAAAATCAAAATTTCGTCATAAATTTAGGCCAAAATGTATTCTGCGAAAAAAAAAGGTTTACGTGAAAGTCATAGCATATACAAATGGCGGTATATATACTGGGATTTTATTTTCCTTTATACTAGTAATGGCAGCAATCAGCAACTTCTAGTGGGACTGCGGCAGGCATTCTGACACTGGGGGGGAACTGACTAACTGCCACTGACATCCCCAGTGACACCAATACAGTGATCAGTGCTAATAAAAAGCACTGACACTGTTCTAATGGCACTGGGCAGGAAGAGGTTAACATCTGGGGCGATCAAAGGGTTAACTGTGTGCGTTTTACTGTGTAAGCACATTGCTTTGTATTGTTCTGCTATGCAGAGCAATACAAAGCAGCATGCTGGTGCTTGCATGGGAGAGATCTGTATTGTTTACATACAGACCTCTCCCCTGTCAGTGTTCCTCGGCGATCGGCAGGTGCCAGCGGAGAATCTCCAGTCGGGACCCAGTGATCAACAGCTGAAGCTGCCAATGGTGGCAAGGGGTAGAGTGGCATGCGTGCCCCCTATCCAGAAATACAAAAAATAGATCTTGCGCAGCCCTGCCACCCTGTAGCAGTAGTTCTGCTATAGGACGGTCAGGAAGCGGTTCATAATAATAAACTTGACCCGCTGATCCTCCCCACACAAGATCGGTCCCTTTGGCTCCTGGTCCCCCAGTCTTGTAAATGGGCTGTTCCTGACCTCAGCACGCTCCATAAACAGGAACAGTCCACCACTGGACCAAGGGGTGAGCGTGGCTTTCCGGCAGTTTGGTGGTTCAGTGGAGTACAAGCTTTGTGCTAGAAAAAAAAATGAGCAGTTGACCCATGAAGTTGGGACACAGCCTCCCTGCCTGGTGAAATTAAAATTTTGCCCGGAGTTCTTACTTAACCACTTCCAGTCCAGACACTTTTACCCCCTTCCTGCCCAGGCCAATTTTCAGCTTTCAGTGCTATCACACTTTGAATGACAATTGCGCGGTCATGCAACACTGTACCCATATGAATTTTTTAGCTTTTTTTGAGACAGATAAAGCTCTATTTTGGTGGAATTTATTCACCACTAAGATTTTTATTTTTTTTGCTATGTAAATTTAAAAAAGTCCAAAAATTTTGAAAAAAAAAAAGTGTTTTGCTTATAAAATGTTGCAAATAAATAGTATTTCATCATAAATCCTGGCCAAAATTTATTCCGTTATATTTTTAGTAAAAAAAAATAAATAAATAACCCAAAGTAGTTTATAACCAAAAATGATAATTTTTAAACATTTTTTTAGATTATTATTTATTTTTTTTTTTTTTACATACTGTCAACCTAGCAGTACAGTGTCACCATGACACTGTACTACTTGTGGGGGGTGATGAAGATTTTTATTTTTTTTTACACTGATTGCTTTTACACCCATATAGGATGTAAAAGCAATAATTTTTCTTTCTCTCTAGCTGCATTCTTGCAGCCATGGAGAACTACTGAGTGAGCTGTGATTGGTCACAGCTTGTCACATGGTACAAGGCTGTTGAATAGCCTTGTACCATGTGACCTCTGTGATCATTCACAGATTTCACACGTAGTAAGCAGTGATTTGAGGTGGATTGCTTTTCAGAGAGCCACATAGCTGCAGTTAACAGATGTTCAAGCAATGATCCGGCCACCTAGTGAATGTTTTTTTTTTTTTTTTGTTTTTTTTTTGTTTTTTTAATCCCAAAGGAAATTTTTTAGAAAAAAAAAATAATAATAATAATAATAATAACACCACAACCGTGAGCCAAGTGTTTGTTGCAGTGTGCACACATTGAGCTCAATGGGTGAATCTGACAGGCAGTACCATGAAACACAGCATCTTAGCATGTCACGCTGTAATGTTTTAACATTTGGGGGCGTGGCCAGGGGCGACTCAGTCACCAGCTTTTACTGCACCCCACTAGCCCATGTGAAAGAACCCTAAAAAAGTGGAGGAAATAAATAGAGACGCACAAATGACTTTCTCTGGACAACAGGAGAGACTTCCAATTTTTTAAAATAAAACTGAGAAAATTTAAATGAATTTCCTTTGCTCCCCCAGGAAAATTTTTTCTGATTACACCAAATACAGTGACCTTGATTTTGGCGACAAGGTGCAGCCATTCACCATCTTTGGGATAGAATGTGAAAAAACTAAAAACAAAAACACAAAATAATGGGGAATGTCCAGAGGCTATGTTTTGTAAGCCTTTTCCTTTAATAAAATAAATAAATAATAATTAAAAATAAATACATAAAATTAAATAAAATAAAAAAAAAAATCATAAGATAATGAGGAATGTCCAGAGGCTATGTTTTCTAAGCCTTTTCCTTTGATAAAATAAATAGAATTTATTTAATTAGGAAAAAAAAAAAAAAAAAATAATAAAAAAAATAAATTTAATTAAATGTGAAAAAAAAAAAAGAATCACAAGATAATGGGGAATGTCCAGAGGCTATGTTTTTTTAAGCCTTTTCCTTTAATAAAATAAATAAATAATAATAATAATTAAAAATAAATACATAAAAAACAAAAAAAAAATTACAAGATAATGAGGAATGTCCAGAGGCTATGTTTTGTAAGCCTTTTCCTTTTATAAAATAAATAATAATAATTAAAAATAAATAAACTAAATTAAAAAAAAAAAAATCACAAGATAATGGGGAATGTCCAGAAGCTATGTTTTCTAAGCCTTTTCCTTTTATAAAATAAATAGAATATTTATTTAATTAGGAAAAAAAAAAAAACAATAATAAAAAAAATAAATTTAATTAAATGTGAAAAAAAAAAGAATCACAAGATAATGGGGAATGTCCAGAGGCTATGTTTTTTTAAGCCTTTTCCTTTAATAAAATAAATAAATAATAATAATAATTAAAAATAAATACATAAAAACACAAAAAAAAATTACAAGATAATGAGGAATGTCCAGAGGCTATGTTTTGTAAGCCTTTTCCTTTTATAAAATAAATAATAATAATAATTAAAAATAAATAAACTAAATTAAAAAAAAAAAAAAATCACAAGATAATGGGGAATGTCCAGAAGCTATGTTTTCTAAGCCTTTTCCTTTTATAAAATAAATAGAATTTATTTAATTAGGAAAAAAAAAAAAATAATAATAAAAATAAATTAAATTAAATTTAAAAAAATATATATATATATATATCACAAGATAATGGGGAATGTCAGGAGGCTATGTTTTCTAAGCCTTTTCCTTTTATAAAAAAAATAGAATTTATTTAAGAAAAAATAATAATAATTATTATTATTATTAAAAATACATAAATAAAAAATATAAAAAATAAAATATTGCAAAATAATAAATGCTGCAAAGCTTACCATCAGCAGGCTGCTGGAAATTGATATAAGCATAGCCAAGGGACCGGCGAGTGTTAACATCACGACAAACTCTGATGGACAATATTGGGCCTGCTGGCAAAAACTTTTCATAGAGCATTGCTTCTGTGACATCTGAATGCAGGTCCCCAATGTACAGGGAGGCTAGAGGGTATGATGGCCCGGCTGCATTCATGGCAATCTGAAAAGGGTAAGAGAGCCAACAATTTTACAAAAATTAATTAAAATGACATCAACTTGAATTATCGAATGCAAAAACAAATGTGAATGCAAGACAGGATGATAGAAGCACTCCCCTTGACCCAGGGACAACACTGGCAATGCAACCTAATGAATACGCCCTTTGGGCCAGTTCACACCACAACTTCTATATGTGCGGTTTGGATGCGTTTCAGTGCATTTTGAGATATCCGACCTCTTCAGGACACTACACGCAAACTAAAGCTGATGGCCTGCTTGTCCCACCCCAATGAGTGCGAAGGCTCCATTCACACTAGGGCGTTTCAAATCACGGGCGGAATCGCCGCAATTCTCCCCGAGATTTGAAAAGGAGCTGTGGCCGTGTGAAAACGGCGATTGCGTGTCAAGGTGCCATTCATTTCAATAGCACCTGAAAACGCGGAATGTTTTTGCCACAATTGCGGCACAGCTTCCGTATGACAAACGTGCCGCGATCTCACAAACAAAATCGTGGGATGCGCAACGCCCAAAGATGGTTCCGAAACACTGCAGAAATGGATCAAATGCAAACTGCATTTGCACTAAGAGAATGATGTGACTTTGCAATTCTGCACTGCAGTCCCGGGGACGCGATTTTCCATTGAAGTCACCGGGACGAGATTCTGCACTGCAGTCCCGGGGACGCGATTTTTCCATTGAAGTCACCGGGACGAGATTCTGCACTGCAGTCCCGGGGACGCGATTTTCCATTGAAGTCACCGGGACGAGATTCTGCACTGCAGTCCCGGGGACGCGATTTTCCATTGAAGTCACCGGGACGAGATTCTGCACTGCAGTCCCGGGGACGCGATTTTCCATTGAAGTCACCGGGAGGAGATTCTGCACTGTCGTTCCCAGGGACGCGATTTTCCATTGAAGTCACCGGGAGGAGATTCTGCACTGTCGTTCCCAGGGACGCGATTTTCCATTGAAGTCACCGGGAGGAGATTCTGCACTGTCGTTCCCAGGGACGCGATTTTCCATTGAAGTCACCGGGAGGAGATTCTGCACTGTCGTTCCCAGGGACGCGATTTTCCATTGAAGTCACCGGGAGGAGATTCTGCACTGTCGTTCCCAGGGACGCGATTTTCCATTGAAGTCACCGGGACGAGATTCTGCACTGCAGTCCCGGGGATGCGATTTTCCATTGAAGTCACCGGGAGGAGATTCTGCACTGCAGTCCCAGGGACGCGATTTTCCATTGAAGTCACCGGGAGGAGATTCTGCACTGTCGTTCCCAGGGACGCGATTTTCCATTGAAGTCACCGGGACGAGATTCTGCACTGCAGTCCCGGGGACGCGATTTTCCATTGAAGTCACGGGGGGAGATTCTGCACTGTCGTTCCAGGGATGCGATTTTCCATTGAAGTCACCGGGACGAGATTCTGCACTGCAGTCCCGGGACGCGATTTTCCACTGAAGTCCCGGGGACGCGATTTTACACTGCAGTCCCCGGGGACGCGATTTTACACTGCAGTCCCCGGGGACGCGATTTTACACTGCAGTCCCCGGGGACGCGATTTTACACTGCAGTCCCCGGGGACGCGATTTTACACTGCAGTCCCCGGGGACGCGATTTTACACTGCAGTCCCCCGGGACGCGATTTTACACTGCAGTCCCCGGGGACGCGATTTTACACTGCAGTCCCCGGGGACGTACACTGCAGTCCCCGGGGACGCGATCTTACACTGCAGTCCCCGGGGACGCGATCTTACACTGCAGTCCCCGGGGACGCGATTTTACACTGCAGTCCCCGGGGACGCGATCTTACACTGCAGTCCCCGGGGACGCGATTTACACTGCAGTCCCCGGGGACGCGATCTTACACTGCAGTCCCCGGGGACGCGATTTTACACTGCAGTCCCCGGGGACGCGATCTTACACTGCAGTCCCCGGGGACGCGATTTTACACTGACGTCACCGGGACGCAATTTTCCATTGACGTCACCGGGACGCAGTGGGCGGAGGGAGGCCGCCACGCTCTGCCGTTGTCTATTGATCTGGGTTTACACTGTTGTGTTCAGTTCATATGGAACTAAACCCCCTCTCCCATGGAAGCCGCCATCTTAGCCTCTGATCTGCATCTAGCATGTAATCAGCGATGACACCATGTGATCAGCAATGGCACCAGCCATGATGACACCATGGGATCAGCAATGATGACACCAGCCATGATGACACCATGTGATTAGCCATGACACCAACCATGTGATCAGCCATGACACCAACCATGATGACACCATGTGATCAGCAATGTTGACACCATGTGATCAGCAATGTTGACACCATGTGATCAGCAATGATGACACCATGTGATCAGCAATGATGACACCATGTGATCAGCAATGATGACACCATGTGATCAGCAATGTTGACACCAGCCATGTTGACACCATGTGATCAGCAATGACACCAGCCATGTTGACACCATGTGATCAGCAATGACACCAGCCATGTTGACACCATGTGATCAGCAATGACACCAGCCATGTTGACACCATGTGATCAGCAATGACACCAGCCATGTTGACACCATGTGATCAGCAATGACACCAGCCATGTTGACACCATGTGATCAGCAATGACACCAACCATGATGTCACCATGTGATCAGCAATGATGACACCATGTGATCAGCAATGACACCAGCCACTTTGATAGTCCAGTTGAGAACACGAGCAACTGTGACAGTTACCATTCACATGTATCTTTTTTGGGAACCGGTTACATGAATGGGTTTATTTCCACTTCTCATTTAAACCGGCTACAGTGATCGACCGCAAAGTGCAATTCAATCGTATAGAATGGCTGATGGAACATCGTAGCGCCACACCAGAACCATTCACAGCGCCCAACCAAGCGTCTCGCCGCATCAAACAACGGACCTCCTTCTAAAAGCTTGCCACTAAGAGGCGAATAATTTTGCTTGCAAAGTAACGTACCGCGTGTGTAAATCCTACGCTGAAGTCGCGAAAAGTACACAGCTGCTATGCCGTATGAAATGGATGGGGACCGTTTCGGCGACATTTGACACGCACATGTCGGGAAGTCGCATTGCAAGGGCGGGACTCTCATCTGTGGATGAACTACAAATCCCAGCATGTCCTACAACCTGGCATGGACCTGTACGTCACGGACAGCTACAAAGCTGCAGCGAGCGTCCATTAAAGAGGACATGACGCTGTCGATCTCCTTCTGAAAATGCTAGTTGCCTGGCTCCCTCTGACCACACAGCCCAGGAAAGTCACCCAGGGGAAGCCAGGCAACTAGCATTTCACAGCAGCAGCTTCTGATGACAGCTTTCCTCTCCAGCTCCCCAGCAACACACCTGAAGTCAGCCGTCTCCACTACACCTGGTGCAGGGAATGACAACCCCACCCCCCTCTGCCGGCTAGGGGCCACCCAATACACATCCCTACCTAGTAGCCTCTCACTGATGGTGGAGGAAGCCGAAGACGATGGACACGTCCGATCACAGCTCACATCAAGCCGATCACACCTCTGCTGCCTACGCCACTCCTCCTTGGGTCGCTACGCAGGAGCGGGACCGTTATAAGGGGGCGGAGCTTTCCCGTAGCTAGGACTTCAGGTGGGGCGGAGCTCTCCGCTGCTAAGTCTTCAGGTGGGGCGGAGCTCTCCGCTGCTAGGTCTTCAGGTGGGGGCGGAGCTCTCCGCTGCCAGGACTTCAGGTGGGGCGGAACTTTCTGCTGCTATGTCTTCAGGTAAGGGCGGAGCTCTCCACTGCTAGGACTTCAGGTGGGGCGGAGCTTTCTGCTGCTAGGACTTCAGGTGGGGCAGGGCTTTCTGCGCCTTAGACTTCAGGTGGGGGCGGAGCTTTCTGCAGCTTGGACTCCAGGTGAGGGTGGAGCTTTCTGCGATTTAGACTTCAGGTAGAGGCAGAGCTTTCTGCGGCTTGAACTCCAGGTGAGGGTGGAGCTTTCTGCGATTTAGACTCCAGGTGAGGGCGGAGCTTACTGCGACTAAGGCTTCAGGTAGAGGCAGAGCTTTCTGCGGCTTGAACTCCAGGTGAGGGTGGAGCTTACTGCGACTAAGGCTTCAGGTGGGGGTGGAGCTTTCTGTGGCTAAGACTTCAGGTGGGGGGTGGAGCTTTCTGCGGCTAAGGCTTCAGGTAGGGGGCGGACCTTTTTTGCTGCTGGGGCTTCATGGGGGCGGAGTTTTCCTTTACTAGGGATTCGGATGGGGTGGTGCCTTCCACTACTAGGAATCCAGGTGGGGGTGGAGCTTTAACTTAACGAGAGTTTAAGATGGGGGTGGAGCTTTTCACGCCTAGAACTTCAGGTGTGGGTGTGGCTTACTTGCATAAGGTGCACTGGCAGTTTTGTTTTACTTCCTGCCCTCACATAGGAGTCCAGTCACAAGCCTATTTGAATTTTAGATGACAGCTATATTCATACTATTCTATTGTGTTCTAACCTATTCTTTTCTATTCTATTCCTTTATACTATTTTATTTTATTCTGTTCTTTTATTTTATTTTCTATCCTTTTCCATTTTATTCTGTTCTTATCTTTTCTTTTCTCTTATTTTCTAATCTATTTTATATTCTTTTCTATTCTATTCTTTGTTTTCAATTCTATTTGTGGGTGTAGGATTATAATTTTTTTTTTCTATGGTTGAACTGGATGGACCTTTGTCTTTTTTCAGCCAAACTATGTAACTATTTCATTCTATTATTTTATTTTGTTTTGGTTTTATTTGTTTTAGTCTTTTCTATTCTATTCTGTTTATTCTATTCTTTTCGAAATTCAAATTTCGGAAGATAGCTATATTCTAACACTTATACACACAGGGGTGGATTTACTAAATCTGGTGCAGCTGTGCATGGCAGCCAATCAGCTTCTAACCTCAGCTTGTTCATTT